GCGCGCACTAGCACAATTTTGTGGCTTTTAATTACTGTTTTGTTCTTTTGTGGGGTTTCAGAGACTGGCGCCTCGGCGCGATTAGACCGTCTCCTGAGCCCGCCGCAACCACGCACAGCCCAGAAGGTGGCGCCACAAGGCAGGTAGTGCCAAAGGAACCGCGGGCTTGGGAGTCCAGGAAAGGCTGGCGTCCCCCAACTTCGGACCACCGTTCCCAGCCACCCGGAAATAGAGAGAGCGAGCAAGTCGCCACTTCCGACTTAAAAGAAGAAATTTCAACCATAGGGTGGAACTGGGTCCTGCAGTGCAAAACTGGAAAGTAGGGTTACATGCATGAGATAAAACTTTTCTATTTGTTTCTGTAAGTCTACCAAAACTTGTAATATGGAGATGACTCTCTCACCTAAGTATCATTCCATTTCCTCTTTCGTAAAAACAAGAATTTATAGTTAACATGCACTTTGAAGACCATCTGGTCAGTCTAGCTTTCCAACCCAGAGAGGAAATCCCCATGATGACTTTTCGGGTGTCTAACAACACACTCTCCACGTGCCAGGGAAGTACGAGGGAAAATTATGTCAAATAGTACATCAATAGCAATAACACCTTTGAGTTTATATAGCTTTTCTCTCAAGCAACAAGCACTATCGTTTAAATACCATCTAATTAATTGTCCTAATATCCCTGCGGGTTGGTTAGAAGCAGGTATTATTATACAGTACGTGGTTTGTGGATAATTTAAATCAATTGACTACGTCAAGTGCCCAGTGGCTGACAAGAAAAGGAAGTGCCAGACACTTCGAGGAAAAGCGATGCTAGAACCGGCCCGGCTCTGATTAATGTTTGAAAGCTGACCTCGCTGGAATTGGTTGGTACTTGTACACAGAAGGGGACATGCCAGTCTCCGTCTTCACGCCTTCTGTCCTCCAGCCGCCGGCCACGCTCACGCCCCGCCCCACTCCCAGCCCTCGCCTCGCTGCTCCCATTCAGCAGCCGCCCGTCTGCAGCCGCGACCACAGCAGCCGCAGCGCCTGCCCTGTGACACCCGCCCCCGCCCGCCTGGCGATCCTGGGCGCTCGTAGCCCCGCGGGCTGGGGCTTCTGATTGGCTGTTGCTAGGTGACGTTGCCTGGGTTCACGTGACAAGTGTTAAATGCCCACCCTGCAGGAGCCCGCCCCGCAGACAATCGTAAAGCCGCAGCGGGCTGCTCACCTGCTCCCGCCTCCCGGAGCCCCCGGCCCAGCCCCGCCACCCCCGACCCCCCTCCACTGCCGGCCCCGCCCGAGCCTACGTCGGGCAAGAAGCCGAACGGGCCGAGAGGCGGAAAGAGGATGAGGCCGACGGCGGCTGTCCCGAGCTGTGCACTGTGATCGCCTCCCCCGGAGGAGGAGTTGCCTAGGCTAGACCATTGCCACATTTCTTGTTTTCCTTCCTACCCACCCACCCCGGTATTACATTGGCTGCTGGAGGGGACCGGGAGAGACGGAGGAGGCGCCTCGCTTCCCCCCTCGCGCCCGCCACCCCTGCTCTTCCCCGTCCCGGGCCAGGATGACTGGAGTCTTTGACAGTTTGGTGGCTGATATGCACTCGACCCAGATCACGGCCTCCAGCACGTTCCACCAGCCCCAGCAGCCCCCGAGCGGAGGCGGCGCGGGGCCCGGCAGCAGCCTTCACAAGCCCCAGGAGTCGCCGACCCTCCCGGTGTCCACGGCTACCGACAGCAGCTACTACACCAACCAGCAGCACCCGGCGGGCGGCGGCGGCGGCGGGGGCTCGCCCTACCCGAACATGGGTTCCTACCAGTACCACGCCAGCGGCCTCAGCAACGTCCCTTATTCCACCAAGAGTGGCTACGACCTGGGATACACCGCCTACACCTCTTACGCGCCCTATGGGACAAGTTCGTCCCCGGCCAACAACGAACCTGGTGAGCATAACGCTGGCGTCAAGGGTGCCAAGTCGGCCTAGCTACTGCCATGGGTGGGATAAAAATATTTGGGGCGGGGATCTCTCCGGAGCCAGGCCTCTCACACTACCTGCTCCCGGCCCGCCCCGCGCCCTCACCATTCTCAACCTCCAATCTGCCGAGGGTCTCTGGGTACGTCCCTCGGTGCTCAGCGGGTCCTACCGGGTGGCCTGGGGGAGGGGGGGGCGTGGTGCATGCCTCCTGGTAACCTCATTTCCTCGCCACCTGCTTCTTTCTCTCCCGTATGCGCTTGTCTTCCCCTTCGCTGGTGGGCCCAGCTCCAGGGTTTGGGGGCGGCAGGGGTCCGCGCATCGCGAAGTTGCGCCTGAGCATCCCCCTCCCGGCTCCGGCCAAGTCCCACGCCGCCGGGCCTTGCTGCGGGCGGGAACTCTTGGGCTCCCGGGTTGCGCGATTCTCAGGATTCCGGATCATTGCAGAGAAAGAGGACCTGGAGCCCGAAATTCGGATCGTGAACGGGAAGCCAAAGAAAGTCCGGAAACCCCGCACCATCTACTCCAGCTTCCAGCTGGCGGCTCTTCAGCGGCGTTTCCAAAAGACTCAGTACCTGGCGCTGCCCGAGCGAGCTGAGCTGGCCGCGTCCCTGGGCCTCACCCAGACTCAGGTGAGCGCTCGCGGCTGGGCGTGGGGGCAGGAAGAGGGACGGGGGGGGGGGGGGGGGGGGCCCTCCGGGGGGGCTGGGAAAAAAAAA